CCTGTGAGTAAACACCACCTGTCAATCAAACACCTGTCAGTCAAACACCTGTCAGTCAAACACCTGTCAATCAAACACCTGTCAATCAAACACCTGTCAGTCAAACACCTGTCAGTCAAACACCTGTCAATCAAACACCTGTCAATCAAACACCTGTCAGTCAAACACCTGTCAGTCAAACACCTGTCAATCAAACACATGTCAATCAAACACATGTCAATCAAACACATGTCAATCAAACACCTGTCAATCAAACACCTGTCTACCAATCAGGGTTCAGTCAGTCTGGCCTGAAGGGGGCGCTGTTGGTCCTAATCTATGGATTCACTAAGAAACAAACAAAAAACATCAATAAAAATAAAGTTCTGCAGGTTCAGTTCTGAGTGAGCTGTTTCTTACTGAGTGTCTCCAGGTTGTTATTTATTTATTTATTTATTTATTGACCTGTGTTTTAGCAGGTAAACCCCACTGAGATCTCAGGTCTTATTTTCTGCGGAGGTCTGGGTCTGAAGGTTTTTGTGTTGTGGGAGAACCGGAGTACTCAGAGGAAACCCACAGAAACATGAGGAGAACATGTAAACTCCACACAGAGACCCCAGGTCTGAACCGGGGATCAAACCCAGGACCTTCTTGCTGTGAGGCGTCGGTGCTAACCACTGAGCCACCGTGTTGTGTAAACCCCTCAGGTGGGCTTCTGGTCCAGTTCTCTGGACAGAGACCTTCTGAATCCTTCAGATTCTTGTCTTCAGTTTGGAAAGTTGAAGCTTCGCTTCACCCAGATGTTCTACAGGCTGAGGTCCAGAGTCCAGAGTCTATAGAGTCCAGAGTCTATAGAGTCCAGAGTCTATAGAGTCCAGAGTCCAGAGTCCAGCTCGGTCTCTCCATGAACATCTTCTTATTTGTTCTCATGGTGGGGGTCTGGACCTGTACCTTCTTCAGCAGGAGGACCTTCCTGATGTTGTTGTTGTTGTTGTTCTTGTTGTTCCTGCTGCACTCTGAGGACATTCTGCTCCATCCTCCTCCTCAGAACCTGTCAGCATGAATAATAGATGCTCCAGAACCTCTTCTGGGCCGAGCCGAGCTCCTCCTGAATAAAACATCCTGTTTCTTCTGAAAAACACAGATTAGTCTGGATGAAAACACTTATTGTGACCAGAGACTGTTGTTGTTTACCTGCCATGTTGTTGTTTACCTGCCTTGTTGTAGTTTACCTGCCTTGTTGCTTCCCTGCCTTGTAGTCTACCTGCCTTGTAGTTTACCTGCCTTGTAGTTTACATGCCTTGTAGTTTACATGCCTTGTAGTTTACCTGCCTTGTAGTTTACCTGCCTTGTAGTTTACCTGCCTTGTAGTTTACCTGTCTTGTTGTTGTTTACATGTGTTGTTGTTTACCTGCCTTGTTGTTTACATGTGTTGTTTACCTGCCTTGTTGTCTACCTGCCTTGTAGTTTTCCTGTTTTGTTGTTGTTTACCTGCCTTGTAGTTTACCTGCTTTGTAGTCTACCTGCCTTGTAGTTTACCTGTCTTGTTGTTGTTTACATGTGTTGTGGTTTACCTGCCTTGTTGTCTACCTGCCTTGTAGTTTACCTGTTTTGTTGTTGTTTACCTGCCTTGTTGTCTGCCTGCCTTGTTGTTGTCTACC